CACGCCCGCATAGACACGCGCACACACGCACATGCACGCACACGCACACGCACACGCACGCGCGCACGCACACGCGCACTCACACTCACACGCACACCCACAGACACACGCGCTTGCGCCCACACGCACCCACACACTTCCACCCGCACACCCGCACAATAAACACTTCACACCCAGGCATGCATACTTACAAGGTAGCAACCAGAGACATGTGCACACACTCACGCGCTTGCACTCATAATTCGGACGCAGAAACACGCGCTGTACACACACACAAACACACCCGGAAACATTGCACTCATAATACGGACGCAGACAGAACACAGACCCTGCCAAACAGACAAACTCATCCAAAAACAGCACCACACTGCACTTGCTTTGGAGGGGACAGCCCCCCCCCCCCCCCGCAATCCTTTTTGTGGAGACTTCGAGAGATCAGAGAGCATAGGTGTGTTGCATGCGCATTCTGTTGGGAGCCGCTGGAGTTTCCTGACAGGGTGAGGGTGCGAGTTTGGCTGGCGCTTTTGAAATCGATATGGCAAACAGTCTAGCCTAAGAATAACATTTCCGTATTGGTTTGCTCCGAGTACGCATGACGCAAAATCCAAGCTTCCATGAATGCGCCACGCCTCTAGATGTATGTTGCTTTTTGCCGACCAGAGTGAATGTTAGTTTAACTGATGAGTCAGCAAAAGTTTAAGGCCTTTGCCAAATCATTGTTTTCCGGTCGCGTTTTTTGGCACAGCGTAACCAGGATTTGCTTCAAAGGCAACGTGTTCGGTGGGGTCTGCTCAAGCAGCAAGTTGAACATTGGGTCTGGACCTGGGATGGATGGCTCTTGTCCATTGCGAGTCTCACATTTGCCCGGACAGTACAGCGCGCTGTGGAGTCGTTGCCGGCATGCCTGATTTTCACAACAATATATGTTTTTTGGCGCCCGAATGCGGCATGGTTCAAGGACATTTCGGGGCAACGCTGCTTTCCACAGCTCGGCGCATGGGAATGATGGTTTGACTCAATAAGCGAGCGCAGAAAGTGATAACATTTCGACGGCAGGAAGTCTATGCTTTTAAGTCTCCTGAATTATTGGTATACAATATCCTTTCCGTGATTTCAGTCTCGCAAGGAGATGGAGGGGCTTCGCTCAGCAAATAAGAATCACAGCTTGCTCTACGATGCAGGGCTACAACAAAGACAGAACGCCAACGGCTGTTTTTTTTTTTTTTATTGGTTGGTTCGGTTAGAAATCGATGGGCTCCACTGGTTTATGGGTTTTATGCTTATCAAAACCAGGGAAACCCACGGACTTTTCTCCAGTGTTGCTCACCGGTGGCTCCAGAGCCCTAGCTTCCATGTGGAATCGCGGTTTTATGCCCCACCAGTGCGCGGGGGTCAGCCCGTCAGAAAGCCAAGCGGCCGTGCGCCAGGAGGTGCTGTACAACAATGAGAAGCGGAACACCTGCCAGGACGCTGAGATCCGCCGCAGACTCTTTTTTGGGTTGGGCACGGTTCTCGGGGTTGATTCCAACCATTCTTTTCAGCCATCGTTCTTTTCAAAAACCGATCGCCATGTTGCCAGGGTTTTTGGTGGTTTTCTAGAAAGAAGGATCCCTGGAAAGAATGCGGAAGTTACCCCTAGAAAGGTGTGGTTTGACGACATGGGTGTAGCTCAAAATTAAACTAGAGGGGCAAACCGCAGGTTTTGGAACCCAGGTTTCCACTTACCAGGGTTCCATTTTGGAAGTCCGGTATTTTGAGCCACAGCCACATGGGAACCCCGCATCCAAGTGAAATTCTGGTTGATGTTCATTGGGGGGATGTGGGGATTCATTGCTTTGGAGCGAACACCCCCCTATGGTTATTCATCCAGGGTATCATCCATCTAGCCAATCTTGTACGTCGATTTCACAATTTGTCCGTTGCATTTTGTTTTGGCAGTGGCTTCCTAAGTTGCTAGAGCCGGTTGACCTCTCTTGCCCAAAGCCGACCAAACCTGAGAGTTCCCCTTGGTTCACTTGTGGTCATGGCTCCAAAAGCTGAACCTTCTATTTCTGGGTCTTTTGGGCAGCTGACAAGTAAACCAGGGCGCCATGTGAATCCCGGATGCCCTGAGCTAGCATGGCGTTTCAGGTGCCGAGTCCCGTTTTTCTGCCTCGCGTTGCTTGACGCGTCTCGCGTCGGAAGAAGCCAGCAACTTGCAGGAACAACTCGAGAAATCTCAACAGAGACTTGTTTGTACCCTCTGACCAGTTCCGAGCCCTTGCAAGCTCGAAAGCATCATCAGCGAGCTGTGGGGAGTGGAATCAGGGAAGAGTTTACTTTTTTTCTGAAACCCGCCTCAGATGATCTGCTCAATCTCGGGTCACCACTTCTGGGACCAGCCGTTCGGTCTGTCCGGCTAGCGTGGCCCGAATGGCCAATTCCCGCAGGGGTGGATCTCTTTGTGAAGTTAGAGGACCAGACTGGAGCAAGCCGAACAAATCTGCATATCGTGAGAATGGCATGCTGTTTTCAAGAAAGGAGAAAGCGTACGATTTATGCAACTGATTAGGAGCGCCTCAATTTGTTTGAAGTTGAACCATGCCCTATGAATTACCAGCCAGAGATTAAGTTCCATGGCATCCGACTCACGCCACACCATCCTTCCATCATGTACGGCTTCTCGCGAAGTGCAGCGGGTGCCCGGAAACCGCCCATTTGTCCAGCCCTAAACCCACGCAAAGCCCACCCTGACACCAGATCAAGCATAGTCCAACTCAAAACCACCCTAAACCAGCGTTGCACAGCCGAACCCAGGAACAACACACCATCTGCCAAGCCCAGGAAACCCACAAGCGTCTAGAGAGACTCCACATATCAGGGTTCCAGCCTGGAGCTTCCTCGGGGCTAGTCCGTTTCTAACTCGAATCGTCTGGGCACTTCTGACTCGAAGCGTCAAACCTTTAAAACAAAAAATGAAAACTCGGTTCCCCCAAAATGGACTCTGTTCCGCCATGTTCCGCCCAAACTTTAAAACCTTTAAAGCAGATGTCAGCCCAGTCCTCCCCAGAGATTCCGATTCGCAGGATCCCGGCCGGCTGCCGCGCTGGCGCGCAAAGCTCCCGCCTGGGTGCCCAAGCGACCAGCGCCAAGCGCACTCCACGTTCGCTGGGTCCTTTGCATTCGGGGGGTGCGTGAATGAGAATGTAAGATTTGCGGGAGGAGGCGGGGGGGGTAACAGGCCCATCAGAGCAGCGTCTGGAATTCTCTCTCTGATCCCGTGCTCCAGCGAATCAGCCGGGGTTGGGCTCGTCGTTTGTTTCTGCTCTTTTGCCTGGCCGGACTCGCGCACTTCCGATCTCCGCTAAAGCGCATGTCGAAGTTTTGCAACCACAACCACTGGACTTCTATCATTTGGGTGTGTCTTTTTAGAACATTTCCCTCCAAAACAAAATGCTGGGTGTCCTTTTGGTGTTCCTTCAAACCTACAACAATGGTGTGCCCTCAAAGCAAGACATACCCATTTGGGATATCCGGTGGCTCCTACGAAACGCGAGGCCTCTGAGGTGAGTCGCACTTGGGGTTCATGGGCTTAGTTTGCCTCAATCTTTTGGGAAAGCCTTGGTGAGATGAAGCCCTGTTGATACATGCTGTCAAAACGAAGTCAGCAAGGGTGGACATGTTTCATCCGGTTGCTGATGTGTTTGCCTGTTGTCACGGAACTCGAAAGGATGATTCGGCATTTTGTAAATGGCAATCGTTCATGTCAAACAAGGGTGAGTAAACCAACAACAGAGTGGTAGATTTGTGCCAGGCAGGTTGTCGTGCATGCTTGATATTGGACGAAGCTACAGTGTAATTTTGCCACCCCCACACTCGCGTCTTGCCGACCAGCCAATCGCACAAAGGAGAGAGGCGTGTTCCAAGAAGTCTTTGTCTCAACCTAAGCCCCATGCATCGCCAAGGGTGGCAACGCACTCGCAGACGCGCAGACAATACACGAATTTTCCGTGGGTGTTCGTCTTAGGGAGGGTGGCACGGCAAGCACGGGAGGGGGCAACGGTCATGAGACACCAAGTTGGCCGGGCCAGTCAGAGCCCCAAGTGACACGCCCAAAAAAGAAAAACAGACAAACAGAAAGCCCGCGCCATGGCGTTGCAGCACTCGGCAATATGTGCGTAGTGTCCTCCCCGCTTGCGCCCTTCAACCACTGCCTTGACAGTACTTGGGATTGACAATATGGAAAATAAAGCAGCTATTGGGCGGTGGCATTTGTTGAATTACCCGATTCTCTTCAGGCAGCGCGTAGCCATTCGCTGCAGCCGTGTGGGAGTCACTATCGTAGTGCGGACGCCATGAAGGACGGCTGGGTGCCGGTTCCGTTGGGAGCCTCATTGGCATTTCTGGAGGCACGGCTTGGTACCGCAGGCGCTTGAATGTCAGGTGATGTTGACCCCTCAACCAATCCCTCCGATGCGCAGTTTTTGGTCTTATCGTTTTGGCCTATCCTAAGTTTAGCAATCAGAAATGTTTGATTTTAAGTCCTCTTTGATACACAAAAATGTGCTCCGGACGGTTTTTGGCATTCGAGCGCTGTTTTCTGCTCAAATCCACTTGGAGCACTTTTCGAGGTTGCCTAGCTGCTTTGGTGAAGTGCTCGAGAGAAAACAAACTCGCAATTTCTCGATACTCGGGCAAGTTTCCGCAACTCGGGCGCAATTCCAAAGCCAAAGCTCTGCCCCGCAATCCGTGTCATGTGTTTGCCATGTACCATTACTTGCGCACTTGCCACGAAGGCTCGAGCAAACTTTTGTGTATCAATGGGTCCTGCAGGTATGTAACTAACGCCAGACGACGGCGTGACTCGTATCCGTCTCGATATTCAGACGCCTTTGCACGGACACGAACATGGCTATTCATGTTCATATGGAACCACCTCAAAAGTGAGTGGAAATAAATCCCCACCCAAATGATGTCCACCAAAGGGTCCCCTCACACCCTGCCTCACACCCATACCTGGAGGTCAACCCCCGTTGATGAACCCTGCTCAAGAGCCGCATGCCCCCAGGTGGCGCCACCTGCACTGCCTACACCTCCTGCTCGGGGTCAGCTGGAGGCTGACAGTAGAAGCTTTAAGGACTGCCTGCGTATCCCGTCCCTTGCCCAGGGTTTCTCAAATGGATTTCGAACACCCTTATTGCTGACCCCTGATTGAGAAGTCCCCCAGTGATTTATCAGGGGGCGGGGGCCCCCTTGGAAGAAAGGATTCTCAACCAAAAAGGCATCGCCCCGATAAATACCTGGGGGGCTTATTCATCAGGGGTTGACATGAGGTTTGTCTTTGAAGGGAACCCGCCAGGAAACCTCTGCCATTTTAGGAAATGACCAATTCCTTTGAGAGACACCCATACGTTTTCCGCGCGTGGTGTCAAGGCCGTGCACTGCAGCACAAGACTTCAACCGGCGACCAGTAAAAGACAATCGGTTGGAGCTACACGGAAATTTCAAGATTCTTGGCAACCCATAATTTCAAGCTGAAGTATGACGAAGTGTCACACAGATGGAAATACCCAGACGTACCCAACGGGGGAGTGGATGAGTGAGAAATGTCCTACTATGGTACTCGGGACCATTCTGGTCTCAGCATAGCTGGGATTTTACAAGCGCAGCCCTTCAAAGACTCCAGACAAAGCACTGTGCCGGCTTCGGAGTCTCAACTATCAGGCGAGCCTCGGTAAGTCTCTTATTTGGATGTCCTGTTTCAGGTGATAGGATAGATCTTTCTTTCACTACCTTACCTGCATGAAACAACTTCGCTGAAAAGTTGGGTTTCCAGGCAGTGTCTTTTTCTTAGGGGACCTTTGTACAAGGGTGGGTTCTCCTTTTAGTTTTCCTTTGAAACCCACGAAAAACGGGGACCCTCAACAACTATGGGCGGTCGACGTTTGTTTTTGGCGGAGGACGGCGCCGGGCCCGTCCTCGCCGTGGCCGCCGCCGGCGTGGCTGCGGCGCTCTCGGTGCGGAAAGCGCGCAGGGCGCGGCGGGTGGCCCGCCGCTTCCGGGATGAGGCGGATGCGATCGCCTGACCTCCAGTGATCTCCAGTGATGCTTCCAGGGCCCGAGGGGGTGTTGCTTGAAGTAGAGGGGGGGTCCCCCTGTTTAGAGGGCTTTGTAGGGGGGTTGGCCCCTTTAACTTCATTCGAAGGGTTTCCCTTTCAAGTCGACTACCCTTTCCGCCATTGCACGTGATATAGAGGAAGGTGGTCTTCCAGGTGCCGTCCAGGCGCTGTGTAAGTGGTGCCCTTAGTCTTCGTGGCCTTCAGATGGGTTTGGGAAGAATGCCCATGACATGGTCTTGAATTTGGATCTGTTGGTTTAAAGGGAAACGGAAAGGGACACCAGCCTTTTTTCAACGGTGACGAGAGGCCATAGGTGGGTCTACCTGGTTTTATGGGGCCCGGAGGAACCCAAAAGGCAAAACGAATCTGCTCTGAGGGGTCCAGGGGCACCGATGTTTTGGTGTTCCTCTTGGTTCCCAAAACGAGGTGTTCCAGGAAATTAGCCAAATCCACCAAAACCAGGGGTTCCCTGTATTCCCTGGATATGTTTCAAGGGCAGGACTCTCTAGATGAATTCGAAGTTGTCATGTTCTGAAGGGAAGTCGGAAGCTTTTCATTCCAGGTCCTCAGATTGGGCTTAGCGCATTGCTCGCAGGGGCGCAACGAGTCGGAACTGGCACCTTGGCGCTGCACAAAAACATGGCGACGCGTCGGATGGTCGGGCCGCCGAACTTGGCTCGTGGGAGGCTTTTCCGTTCAAAGCGAAGCAAAGGATCCCGCCAAAAGGCCCCTTTTTCAATCCGTGTTCGGATTGCAGGCCCTGGGTTGATCAGTGGGGGCTCCCCGCCCCGAACCCCGAAAGCCATGGTGATACGCATTGATCCCAACAGCATGAACGAACAAGACCGGCGTTGACATTTGGGCGCATTCTGGCGTGAGTTGAGTGGTTTTGATGGGCAAACTGATCTGACATTTGCGCCCCATAGCAGATACAGAAAAGAGAGTGCTGAAGGAACTTCTCAGCAATAAGTTTCGGCTCCCATGCCCGAGAAACACCGTGTACACCAGAGATCTCTATATAAATATATAGAGGGAAGTGCATTAACCCTTTCTGCAGACCATGAAGCCATTGGGCTATTACTGCATGTGGAACTCCGCTCAGGCTCCTAGCAAACCGCAATTTTCCACTTGCATTCCTGGCTGGCGCGATTTTGGCCTTGAAGTTGGCCCAAGCGAAGCAATGGGGGCAGCATGAGTGTCTGGAAGAGGTAGAGTCAACCAACGCTTCATAATGATGCTTCTGCCTTCAGACAGCTTTTCAACTCCCCAGAAGCAGGCCAAAGCAGATAGAAACGCGTCTTGACAAGCGCAATCTGTGGACTCGGAGCCAAAGTGGCGACACCCGAGGATTGGTCTGCTTTCAACAAGACTGTGAGTCAGATGCAGGCAGAGCGAGAGGCAGAGGCGCGAAAAGGAAACACACGTGTTGTATCCTTCCATTTCCACATGGAGACGGACGGGGTTCTAGAACGACTTTTTATTTGATCAACACCCAAAGTGTATGGAAAAGAAACAAAAGCAATGTTTTGAACCGTCCTGTCAGCTTTGTTTGAGCATGTAGTTAGTGGTGGGCCTTGCTTTCCCGATCTGTTGCGCTCGCAGAGCGCTACATGCTCATTCGCAGAGGCTGTGAAGATGCCCTAAAGCGACCAGTCAGACAGTTGGCCATTTGCCTTTTCTCTTCTCTCGCCGAGACACCGACCTTGCTTGAGCATCCAACAAGTGACCGAATGGCAGTCAAACATGTATGTTCCAGTGGATGTTCGGCGAGCGCTTCGTGTCAGGAGCGTGGCATGCTTCCAGAAGCCAGTGAAGGCGCGAATTGTGTTTTGCTTCGCTGCCCTCATGGCTTTACGTTTGGTCGTGGATAGCGAAGATCAGTTCGCTATGGGGACAGTGACGTAACAAAGATGAGTGAAGATCGCCAGGACTTTGCACTTTAAGAATCAACACCGCAATTCATTGCGCTGCATATTGGTAACATGGAATACTGGTTAAGCAAGCGGAGCATGGGCAAACATCGATTGATGCAATACGGCTAGAAACCCAGCCCGCGGCATTTTCGGATTTTATTTTGTCGATTGCCATGTTGAAATCGTCCTGACATGTTGCGTGAATCAGCCTGGCGACTTTGATTGCCATCGGAATGCCTCACTCTGAAATTTGGATAGGACCTCCCTTGTGGTTGAAGGGAAGAAGGTAAAAGGGAAACCGGACCCCGTTTGAATGGCACATGAAAGGAAAGTAAGGACAGGCATGTGCAAATTTTCAAGAGTGCCGCCCAAGCAAGATGGAACATAAAACACTTGCGCGACTTGTTGGCTTCCACGGCCTGCCTGGCACTACTTTCGGCAGAGTGTTCACCTATTCCAGGAAAACACGGTCAGACATCCATCATGAAAGCTCGAATTTAAGCAGAAGCTGGTGGTTTACTTCTTCGAGCCGCTACTTAAACTCATGTCTCAAAGGATGTGTGGTACACGAGTCGCGCTCTTTCAGCCGCGGCTCTTTCCAAATTCATCTTTGCAACAAGCACTTGGACAACGACGACCGAGAAACCTGGCTTCCGTTTTCCCTTTCTATTGCCCCTCTAAACCAATCTGCAAGGGGTTTCCTTTCGCACACCGACCCACCAGTGTCGCCGCTGGCGAGGCTGGAGCAGCTTTCAGCGCCTGCGGCCTGCCCCTTCGGCCTCTGGCAAGCTGCCGCTCGGCGGGCGCATCGCTTTGGCCGTCCGCGATTTGGATGGGGCCCGTGTTTTTCGGTCGCCTCATATGGCTGTGGGTCAAAACTGTTGTGGGACCCCCCCATTTTAGTCTATTTTAGTGGGGATTGGGATGTTCACTGGCGATACGGGCTTTTGATGGGGTGGCGATTTTTGTTTGAGGAATCGTACTCCAACATGGTAGTTGGTTTTGCTTTTGGCTCCCCCTAAAATCTACCGAAAAGGGGTACCCTCCAAAAAAGACACACGCAAATATCAAACTGAATCCGAACATATGACGTATGAGTATTTGTGTACCGATGTGGGTAAAAAGAGGGGTGCGGGGAATCCATCGGGAGAGTACCCAAATATGAAGTTAAGGACCCTCCCGCTGAAAATATACTTCGTTGTTCAAAGCCGACCTTTTGACATTCTTTTTTAATAGAGGTGCCAAAAGCTTCACCTCTTATTTCTGGGTCCTTTGGGCAACTGAGCAACCACAGCGTAACTGGAAGCGCGCCATGGAGCTGGATGAATTGGCCACGACCACCTGTGACTCAGAGCTGCTCCCGCGGTATCTGCGATTGAAGTCTGACCCCAGGCGTCTCCTGGGTGCTGGCTCTGAACAGACCCAAGAAATTACGTGTTGTTTTTGAAAGTTGGAAGGAACTTGCAGGTATGTCCTCGGCTAGGTTGGGGTACTCGGGGGTACTCGGTGCAGTGAGCAAGCATGTGGAGCATGCAACCTAGCACCGTTCTTGTTGTGTGGAGAAAGCTAGCGTACACTCATTTGTCCGTGCCAGCAATTCACGCCCGCTGAAGAAAATACAAGCATTGATGAACCTAATTACAGGAAAATAGTATCCCATTGGCAGCTTTCAAGTGGAACGTGAATGGTTCGGAGGGTGTGTTTGCAAGGCTAGGAAGACTCCTTTGCGAACCTCTTCTGCCGCCCCACATGACGACTCCTTTTGCTTCAAACCCTCCAAACCTCCAAACCGTGCAAATGGCTGTGGGTCAAAACCAATGGTACCATTTTGGGGTAGGTGAATTCACCACCCATTTTAGAGCCTATAGTGGGGATTGGGATGTTCCCTGGGGGTACGATTTGGATTTTGACCCATGGCCAAATGGGTATGGGTCAAAATTGAACCACCAGGGGACCGCCGAATTTAGTCATGTTGTCCATTATTAGCAA